GACAAGGTGTCAAATTAAGATGTATTTAATATGCCTACTGGATTTTGATACTGTACTAAAGTAGAAAGCCTGATGCAATGTTTTAGTGAAAAGTGCAGATCATAGTCTCTGTTGCGGTTTAATGGCAGAGTTGCAAACAGTAACATAGAAGGCCAGGGCTTTTTCCAGATATTTTCCTAATGTGGAATGTTAGGATTAAGGCTTGGTAGCGTATTTAGAAGTTAAAAGATTTTTCCCCCACATTCTCCATATTTTTGTATATAAATCAAATCTAGGAAAAAACAACCAATGACCCTCACTTTGTGAAATAATACCTTCAAAAACTTACTCTATTATTGACTGAAATGAAAAGGCATAGTAAAAAAAATGGTGCACTGATTTACTTCAGTTATTATCCCCTGATAAGGATTCATCATTGTCTTCAAATGTAAAGATCTTTATGTTACATAGATATATATATTTAAAATATATCTGTTTATATAAAAAGCAGAGTGCAAATGGCATAAATGTTAATCGACATTAACAACTTCATCTCTGACGTACCCCCTCTTACTATGATGATATTCCATATTGAGACTGTATCTCCTAAGCATGCTTCTGGCAGTAAATTCAAGAAAAGTTTGTTTGTCATAGGGAAAATAGCTTTCTTTCATTGTGATGCTTAATAACTCCTTTTTGTAAGGGCAAGAGAAATAGAGATACATGACCTGCAACACCATGTTGTTTGCTTCTCTTTGCCATTTCTTTCTTCTCCTAGTAACAGATCCATTCCTTTTCTGATCAGAGAAGTTTTACGTCTGGAAATCTCCAAGTATTTACTGTTTGTGAGTTGATCTGAAGTTTAATATTCCAGTGCTTATAATTGAGTTTTGGTGGCCTTTGCTTGATTGCAGCTGAACATGAAAACACTGATACATAATGTCACTTTCCCGGGAACTTTTATCTCATCACACTCACTTTCCAAGTTTTCTTAGTGACAATTCTAAACTTTGTTGAATTACAAAACCTTCTCATTTGTGGACACTTGCAATAGTTCTATATGAAACAGGGCACTTAAGCAAATCTTGCTGTGTGGGAAGAATATATTTAGCATTTGTTATTTCAAATCTGTTTTTTCTCTGTTGTCGTCTTATGCCATTTGCATTTTGCAGTATTAGAGACAGGATCCACTGCTCCCGTTCGTCTCACATGACTTAAAGTGAGATAGTGTCTAAGACTTCTCTTGCGGAACACCTGCTTCCCAGTAGTCTCAGTGGCAAATCTGTTCCTGGGAACATTATTACGAGCAACTGACCGGTAGCATGAATAATGTTTGCCTAGTCTAGTTCTGAAGCAAGAAATTTTTTCCCAGAGATAAAGTAGTTGATAAGTAGGATTGTGATAATCTTGCCAAAATCTGCTGTCCATAAATTCAGACATCTAATCTGAATTAATTGCCTAGGTTCCTGATACAGTAAATAGTGAAAAAGATGCATTGATTGAGGATAGATCTTTCAGTTCTCAGGCAACAGAGGCCACTTTTGGAGAGTAATTACTGCTAGCTTTCATTTATCCTTAATTTCACTGGGATTCAGAACAACTAGTTAAAATTACATGTTATACTTTTACATGGCTGATGTAAAATGAAGAGTAATCTTGACTCTTGTTCATAATTTTTAAATAAAACTTATTTTTTATTGAAAACCATTATAAATATCCATATATTTCTTACACACTGACACAAACTCATCTTTGGACTGCTTACAGAGAGACTGAGATTTTTTTTTCTAGAAAGTAAGCTATTGCAAGCACAGATTTTTTTGTAATAGCCCACAGTTAATTTTGTATAATCTTTAGAGGTAGAAGGTAAGTTACACAGTTAAAAGATGTGCACAGGAGAAACAGTTGCTTATGCAAGTGCAAGGGCACTTACATGTATTTTGGGCATATAGGCTACAAAGATTAGGTGAAACAAAATAACATAAAAAAGAGCAACAGTAAAATCACTGGAAATGATATCTTGTTTTATTAGCAATTATTAATGTAATAGTGCATAAGAAATTGTTTCTGTAAGTTAGAAAAACAGGATGTCACCAGCCATCAATGTCAAGTGGGAGTCTCAGTCTGTGTTACATAGTAAACTTGTTATTTTGGAACAGTGAAGACTTGAAAATTTACAGTACATAACAGCTGCTTGAAGCCAGACTTTTTAAGGTGTAACATTTTGATACAGAGTCATACTGTTGCCCTCTACTGGCATCTGCTAAAAGCTTTTAAGACCATACTCATCAATACCATGGTCTCCATGGCTAAGTTCTGAAGGATGCAGTTAATCCATTTCAGGCAAACTCAAAATACACCATCATTTGAAAGCAAAACTTTTTCTCTTTAAGGAAACTTGGGGATTGGGGGGAAATGGAGGAGGGGCACAACTCCTACCTGTCAACACTCATCTGCTTACAAACTGCTGAAAGCTTTAGCTTCTGCATTCAAAAGCCCTAAAACATAAAGATGTCAGCTGAATTAGTTAAATATTTGAGTACTGGCAACTGTTGGAGTGTTTGAATTTTGAAAGCATGGATTAAAGACATCAAGGGTCATGAGAGAGTGTCGTATTTCAAACTGCTTAGTGAAAACACAGCTATAACACAGTGATTGTTGCTGGTGTTCCAAAAAAAAAAAAAAAAAAGCCAAATTCATACAACTGTGCTTTCTGAGAGATGGCAGAATACAAGAGAGAAAAATATTTGTATTTTGCAAGTACTTTTCTACACAGTGTCTTGCTACTGTCATTAACTGAGCTGCCTAAACAGGAGTAAAAGACACAAAAGAGAAAGATAGTTTATCTACTAAATAGGGTGGGTTTTTTTTCTTTAGATGATTATTTAACTAAGACGCTTAATCTCAGCTGCCCTCAAATCTCTACACAGCGTGGGACTATTTGGAGATTTTATGTGCAACAGTGACTATCAGTACTGTACTGTATTTGGAGTCAGTCCCTCTGAAGAGCTCTTTCTGTAAGCTGTCTTCCATTAAATACTTTTTGTGATCCTTTGACTTCTTGTTCTGAAAAAATAAGACATCCAGTATCTTCCCTCTGGGCAGTAATAGAGGAATACCTCATGTGGAGAAAAGATGAGTTGGGATGGGGCTTCCTTCTGGACAGTCATACAGGAATACCTCATGTGGAGAAAAGATGAGTTGGGATGAGGCTTCCTTCCCTCAAGTCAAGATGTCATTAGGCACTGTGGAGCTTTAAATGCTTTTTTCTGTTACTGCCACTGTCTTGCACTCTGGTCTTTGACATGTCAGTGAAATATGCGGGGGAGGGGGCGGGAATTAATTGTAAAATGTTATTTATTCTTACTTACCTATTATCCAGGATTGAGTATGAGTGTTATTAATTGTATGCCATTTGTACTATGTTTAATCTCTCTATACATACAAAGCTTGTTTTGTGAGTGCAAAGCAGTGCGTTAACTTAGTGGAATAGGCTTTGCTTAACTCATATTTTCAAATAAAGGTTTGTTACACCTTCAACATTATGATTGTGTATAACAAATTCCATTTTATTAATAGAAAAATAGTTATTTTGTCCTTAGTTTGTTGAACTGTGATTTTGTTCTAGAAACAGCCTAATTATTTGCTTTTAAAGTGTTGTGTACAGGTAGAGGAGGCAATAGACTCAGATTCCACTATGTTGCCTAGAGAATTGAAAATTAAAATGCCCTTAGGGAATGATAAAGCTGTCCTGGGTTCAGCAGTAGCAGTCATTTTTCTCCTCCTTGGTAGCTGGTGCAGTGCAGTGTTTTGACTTTCAGCTTGGGAACAGAGCTGATAGTGATGTTTAGGTTTGGCCAAGGACTTTGTGAGCCTCATGCTCTGCCAGGGAGGAGGGGAAGCCAGGAGGAAGCAGAGACAGGACACCTGACCCAAACTGACCAAAGAAGTATTCCATACCACAGCACGTCATGCCCAGGAGGCAACTGGGAGTTACCCAGAAGGGCTGGTAGACTGCGGGGTTGGAGGAGGCATCGGTCAGAGCTTGGTTGGGATGGGGGGGGCGAGTTATCGGTTGGCTGGTGGTGAGATGATGTATTCTCTTCCCTTGTTATTTCCTTTATCATTATTATCATTGGTGGTAGCAGTAGTGATTTGTGTTATACCTTAGTTACTAAACTGTTCTTATCTCAACCCGTGGGAGTTGCATTCTTTTTGATTCTCCTCTCCGTCTCTCCGAGAGCAGGGGGAGGGCAAGAAAAGGGGGGGAAGTGAGCGAACGAGTTACCTGACTGGGTTTAAACCACGACAAAAGCTTTATTACTTCTTCCAAATTATGGAGTTGGTTTAGAAACTCTTCACTTTCTGATTCTGAACAGCTCAGTATGCAGATATCATTAATGTGAGTTTGGGAAAATTGATGCTAAATGACACCAGTTTAAGGAAGCATTAAACAAAATACCTTTAAGATACAGGGTGCTGCAAGGAAGATGCTAAGAACGTTATGTTTCCATTTCAGTCATAAATTGTGATACAAAAATTGCAGAGACTTTTGTTTAACTAGGTTCTAACACAGTTCAGATACAGCATTAAAAAATAGTAGATTTTTTATTTCATTGGGATCCTGACACCCAGAGGACTCTAATAATGACCATATGTGAAACGGAAGAAATATTTGGGAGCAGTTAATGTCTGAATATAAAAGTGACCACGTGTAAATCACTGTAGAATGTCATTTGAGCAAGGGCAGTAGGTGTTGGTTTTGTTGGTTTTTGCTTTTTTTCTTTTTACCCAAGGCTCTCTGTGTGTATCCATATATTCTAGAAAAAAATCAAGCAGCAAATAGGAATATTTTGACCCAGCCCTGTATCCTGCTCAGGTGGACCTTTATTGTAATTTTCATTACACTTAGATCTTTTCTTGTTTGAACTGAGTGTGAAGACAAGGCCAGAAAAAAGTACCTCAGTTTGACAAATAACCGAGGCCATATTTATGGACTCTGATGTGTTTCTTGTTTTCAGGTGAGCGTCCTTACCAGTGTCCTTACTGTGACAAGGCTTTCAGCAAGAATGATGGATTGAAGATGCATATTCGCACCCACACAAGGGTAAGTGTAGCTTAGTTTTTATGGTTACTTGAGGATTGTCTATGAATCATGTAGCTAAAAGTAAATAATTTCTGGTTTTTGTAGAGATAGGGCTGTACCAACCAAGATGTTTTATACTTACAAGTGTATCATAAGAGGCAAAGATTTACGTAATTAACTGTTTAATTATAATTACGACTCCCTTACTGACCTTCTGTTTTTCTGTCTTTGATTTCTTGCATGTTGAATAATATCAGTACAAACTTCTTCCTTCAACCTGTGTTTTTTATAGCTCTAATATAATGTTTGTGATTGTTTACTGAGTAAACAATTCTGTAAAGTTCTTGAAACTTCAGTATCCAGTGTTTTGATTCTTGCCATATCTTTAAAATCCAGTCACTGTGAGCTTTTTAGAGCTTGTACTTTTCTAATGGATGGCAAATACTAAGCTACATATTTACTGTATTTAAATTTTATTTAACTGAAGGCAAAATAAAAGGCAAATCGCAGATGTCTCCAGGATTATTTTTGAACCTTTAGTCTCAGCACAGAGGTTCCCTGTTTTAAGGAAAAGCATTGTAATGTATATATATTCCTAGAGGATAAAAGTGAGATCTTGGCCCCACTCAGCCAGCATAGAGATGAATAGCTGTCTTCAATCAGCCAGATGTGAATTCCCTTAGTAAAGGGAGATGTCCAGGTGAAGTTAAGCTGGTCTATCATTCCATGTGCTACCTGCCTCATCCACCATAAGAAAACAAACAAAAAGTTGAAACAAACCTGTAGCTTTTACTAGTAATCCCTTGGGAGCTGTTACTGCTTAAAGGAGTCAAGGCAGTCTTGAGGCCAAACAGTGAAAGTTTATCTGTTAGGGAACAGGAAGGATGATAGTTAATTTACTGGTCTCCATATTCAAATCTGTGCACAGAATAGTTTTCTAAATAAGTGAAGATACGCTCAAAACTGTTTGCTTAATTTTCTACCATTCTACATAGGACTTGAGGGTATTAACTGGAGGTGTTAGATAAAGTTTTAGCCCAAACTTTAGCTTAGAAGTAGTTTGTGCATTGCTTCCTGGTGGTTCATTGTGAGCAGACTAGTCCTATATTATATGTTGTTTCTTCTTCTTTGCAGCTATTTAAATAACTTTAAAAAGTGCTATAAAGTACTTTTCTGTTGTTACTGTCCTGTATTACTGGCTTTGCACCAGAAGAAATTTCATTACTGTGTGTGTTCTACAAGGCTCTGAGTGGGAGGAGTAGTAAACAAGACCTGCTCTGAAATGGTGCGAGTTTATTTTTTCTCTGATTTGTCATAGTGTTGGAATAAAATCAACAAATCCTATTATTTACCAGAGCAGTTATGTGCTTGGCAGGAATATGAAGATTTATTTAATGTTTGTAGTAGGTTGATGCTTGTCAGGAATGTAGTGGTTGACATGCAGGATTTCATTACAAGACATTAAAAATTCAGAATTCATTCTTGCGAGTTTGGTGTTGCTTATGCATAATTTTTAACTTAGTAAGAATGTTGAGAAAAAAAGAAAAATCTACAAAGCTATCATACAGGATCAGGAAACAAAACCAGCCCTTTCAGTAGAGAAACAGCTACTGAGTGGGTAGGTTCTATAATACTTTTGTAAGATTGCCTGCCTTGAAGTTTCTTTGAACACAAAAGTGCTAGCTAAAGGTGAAATCTCTGCACTGTGAGGATGTTGGCTATGCCTTTTCCTACCTTTTCCTACGTAGAAATTTTATTTTTAAATTTATTCTTGCATGCAAAATAATTATTCAAAGAAAATTAACAAGATACGTAAACCAAGTATGCACTTTTGTGTCAGCTGAGCCTAGCAATGTGGAAATAACATCACAGCACTCTTCCTCAAGGGCTATTCTCATGTAAATATTTTGGAAAAAGAGTTTGGTCTTTTAGTCAGACAAATTGTGAAGTAGCGTAAAAGTAATAATAAGACATTCAACAAGGAAAATGTCATTGTAGTGATTAAATCTAGATGTATTTTACCAGTGGGATTAAATGCCAAACCTGACCCTGTGGATCACGGAGGGCTGCTGGAAAATCATTTTAGAAAGTTGATTAAGGTCTGGCAGCTGCTAAACTGAGTACAGCCTGGTGGCCACAGGTGTCAGCTCACTCTGGAGTAAACAGAGAAGGTAAGCCAAAACCCATAGTGACAATGTAAGGAGTAAAAAATACCAACCACCTAATATTAAAATGTCACCTGAGCACTGATTTGTTTCTATGAAAGTAAATGTGTTTGGTGTTTATTTTTTTTTTTACTTAAGAAGAAATACAACGGCATAACAAAACTGTGCATAAATGAGAAACTCATTGAAGTTCTTGATGAATCAGCTTTGAGGAAGTACATGCATACTTCTGACCTTCACAGAGCAGTAAACTTCAGCTCTTTCCTAAGGCTTTATTCAGTGCCTGACATAATACTATACAATTTGAGCTTAAATATGTAGATAAATTATTGTATGTTACTGCAATAGAACTGTTAATATTTGGAAATATAATCATTGATAGGTGCCCAGAGTTGTTGTCACACAAATTGATGTTTTCATTACTTCCGAAAATGGTACTTTAGTTACAGTTTATTTCAGTTAAATACATGGCGGTGATGGAAAACAGAAAGAGTAGAAGCATTTGCAAATGGTTTTTCATCACATGGTTTGAATATTTCATATTTTTAGCTTGAAAGTATAAACGATACATGTAATTTTTATAGCTTGTTTAAGAAACCAATTTCTGGTGGTTGAAACGCTTCTGGCTGTAATGCTCAAATTGTATGTTGCCAAGATAATATTTTAAACATAGAGAAATTAGAGAAATTGTAGGGATAGGACAAGAGGTAACGGGTTAAAACTTAAACAAGGGAAGTTCAGGTTAGGTATAAGGAAGAAGTTCTTTACTGTGAGGGTGCTGAGGCACTGACACAGATTGCCCAAGGAAGTGGTAAATGCTCCATCCCTGTCAGTGTTCAAGGCCAGGCTGAACAGAGCCTTGGGCGACATGATCTGCCCATGGCAGAGGGTTGGAACTGGGTGATCTTAAGGTCTCTTCCAACCCTAACTATTCTATGAGTCTATGGTCTGCTGTCACAAAAATGACTTCAGTATAAAGATAGCCTTAGAAGCTAAGGACCTAAGGCCTGATGCAGTATATGCAAGAATTAGTGTCCTGATTTTGGCTGGGGTAGAGTTTATTTTTCTCCTAGTAGCTGGTTTTATGTTTTCTTCCCTTGTTATTTCCCTTATCATTATTATCAATATTAGTAGTAGTAGTTTTGTATTATACTTTAGTTATTGGACTGTTAATATCTCAGCCCATGGGGTTTACAGTTCTTTTGATTCTCCTCCCCATCCTGCCTGGGGAAGGGGGAAGTGGTGGATGAGCTAGCGGCTGCGTGGTGCTAAGATACCAGATGGGTTTAAAACATGACAGCCAACCTTGAGTTAATTCTGAGTTTTATTTGTGAATTTCATGGGAATAGTTATAAGTCACAATAGGTATGGAAGCTAGGCAGTCTCCTGTAGAGATTCTTGTCTTGAAGTCAGTGTTTCAGCTTGCTGCTGGGACAGTACAAAAAGAAAACTGTCCATATCCAGATCCTGAGTCAAACAGCCTTTTGAAAGCACTCATTTGGAACTTTAAACAACACCCTCTATTCTTTTTTTAAGCTCAGAAGAATATTAAAGTACTGGAAAAAAGATGCAAGAACAGTATTGACGATTGTGACATAATTTCCCTTGTTCTGTTTCCCAGGAGATATTTGGGCTTCAGAAAGTTTTAACGAAGGTCATGTGTTCTAGAAACATCATATTATGCTATGGCCCTCCCCAATAATATTGGGTACTAAATATAGTCCTCTATGCACATGACAGTGCGTAATGAAACAAGATGAGGTGTTGATTGAATTTTGAATTTTTTTCAATATTTCCGTATTGGTGAGACATGAGTGAGTTCCCAAACATCTCTCTGAGGATGATAACTTTGACAGTGCTCTGGTTTCCTTGCCTGTGGAATCTGTGTTTGTGTACAGAATACAGAAGGTTTTAATCCCACTGCAGCTATATTTTAACACTTTTTTTTTTTTTTTTGCGATGTTGACTGATGATCACCTTTTACTCATAGATTGAATATGTTTTGGGGTGTTTTTTTTTTGTTCTTTTTCCAAGAGCAGATCAGCATCTGTTGAATATTCATCGTGGCTGATGTAAATAAACCCTCCATCACTAAATCTTAGGAAGATTAGTTATTTCGGTGGTTTAAAAAACCCCAGGTAAACAATCTTTAAAGACTGTAGGTAGCAAATAGGTAGAACTACTGTGGAAAATGGGAAGTTAATGGTTTTGTAAGGTCCAACTAATTGCATATGCTACAACTTTTGAACAAATAATCCTTTTTTTTTTCTTCTGGCAGCATTTCAGTTAAGATGTGTGGCTTTATTTTCATTACAAGCTTTATTGCAAGAATTTCAGATAGTATTTTTTCAAAGCTCCCAAAACTGAATTGAGAAATTTTTGAACAAAACCATCAGTCATTTCTAATAAAAGTGACTTTTTATGTACATTTGCCAAATCCTGTCTGAATTGTTTCAGCAGGAATGTTTCTGTGCCTGCTCTAGTTATTGGAAATATTTTTTTAAAGGCTTTTACTTCTAAAGTGAGGAAAAGTACTTGTAAAGTGATTGTTTATTGAGTTTTAATCATTGTAAGATTCAAGTCCCTACTATTTGTGTAGGGTTGTAAATTCTCATCAGCCTTTGTCTTCCTGTGTCAACATTATTTTAGTAATTTAATGCAAGTCTTAGTAGGCAAGTCTTTAATGCAAGTTTAAGTAGGCCTCTGTCTGTGGGTGAGCCACTTGCTGTAACTTCCAATCCCCTCCCAATTACTAAGAAAGCATCTTGTTAGTTCTTGCCCATTTTTCACACTGAAATATGAAACTGGACTCCATTAACTCACACCGTCTGTGATCTGAAGTGTCTTAGGTTCCCT